GTAGTAAATGCACTGATCTGTGTCTATTCTTCTCTGCCATATGGTCTGATATAAGCCCAGGCCAGGGTGCCGTTCACCCCCCTCGTAAATTGAAATTGTTCTTGTTGGGCCTTTACCGGGACTTCTATCTTCCCCTGAAGATCTGCCTGGCCTTCCATTTGTCTTCTTTGCTCATCCACCGCCCTCACCTCTTTTTCAAGTTCATCTGCCGCCTCCAGCCGCCTCCTCTTCTCTCTCGTGAGGCGTAATTTCCACTCCAACCTTGTCTCTTCATCCATTGTCTGTTGGCGTAAGGGATTTTCGTCTACCTGCAGCTCCCTCATCACCGCCTCTTGTTCTGCCCTGGGGACATGCAACATCGCTTCTTCTTCTTCTCCCAGAGAGAGGTTGACGACCCACTCTGACATCGTTTTCTCCATCCTCTGGTCCTCTTCCTTCGCGCCACTAGATTCCCCTATCTCTCTCCTTCTCACATTCCTTTCCATGGGGATTTCTTCCTCTTCTTCTTCTTTGTTTTCTTCTACTGCCTTCAACTTTTCTTCTTCTTCCTTCTTCAATCTTTCCATCTCCTCATCCAACTTTTTCTTCTTCGCCGCCTGCTCCTCCAATAAGGCCAACTTCTTGTCCTACTTAATCAACTCCTTTTTCGCCTCTTTTTCTTTTCTCTCTTTCAACAGGGCGGTGACTTGCTCTTCTTCAGCCTTACTAGACAGGATGGTGCTCGTACCGGTTCGCGTGGTCACCATGGTGAAAGGTGCACAACCAAATGACAGTTCCACTCCTCACCACTTAGATTTCCACCCACTGACTGACTTACTAACTGACTGACTCTCTAAGGACCATAGAGTCATCTCCTTTGTTCCAGCCAGGTTAGCCGATGGAATCTTTCGCCACCACTGTCTGTTACAATCCTCGACCCAGATGTCCTACACCTGCCATCAACCCTCCTTGCTTTTACAACGTTTCAGAACCCTGTCAACTAGGGTCTCTAGCCTAGACCTATGGCTATGACTGTCACTATAGGACTTCACTGCTGATCAGGAGGCATTTAAGGAGATCCTCTATAACTCCTTAGGAATTCTTTAACGTCGCGGACATGACGACGCGATCAGCAAGTCCTCTCAAGACTTAGACAGCCGGTTGTGCAGCCCACAACTCGGACTTTGGGCCAACCATGCCAGACTAAGCAGCCCGCCGGTCTGTACCGGTTCTTGGGAGGGTTAGGCCTCTGGGACGTGTCAGTTGTCAGACATGGACAACAACCCTACTCAACCTGTGTGGGTTTGGTCAACGCAGCTCTACGACCTCATGCACGAAATCCTATCAACTGGACAGAAGTGACTCAATGTAGGAAGAAGAGACAGAAAGACTCAGCAAGTACCAAGGGGTAAGTGCACATCCATAAGGCGAGGGGATGGGATGAGGACTTGGCGAGATTATACCAACTCCAACTTGGTCAAATCCATGGTCAACGAGTCCGGTCAACGCTGGTCAACAAATGGTCAAACTTGGTCAAAGCTTTGGTCAACTCCACCAGTCAACTCTCTTGACCCGCTGGCTATGGCTGCCGACCTTCTCCTTCACTAACCTCTATTCTTCTCACCCCTCCTTGGCTATGGCGTCCGCCTTCTTCCTCGTCTCTCTTCCCTCCTTCACTTTCTTTCTCTCTCCTTACTTCGTCTTCGTCATTCGCGTACTCTTTCGTCTTCTTCACACCGTGTCCAAGCTTGCCGGCTATGGCTGCCTCCTTCTTTCCTCGGGCCACAACAACCAATCTTCTCTCTCTCTCTCTCTCTCTCTCTCTCTCTCTCTCTCTCTCTCTCTCTCTCTCTCTCTCTCTCTCTCTCTCTC